TCCCATTCTGGAAGCTGACATGTGATTGTTTTCAGTATGAATTCAAAGTATTGAGGTTCAAGTTGCTTCAGTAAAAAAATTGTTCTATGATTGACACTTCTTCTCCCACGGACACAGGACAACAAATTGCTTAAATCAACAGTTAACTGTGGATGAACTAATGTTGCAAGTTTCGAGGTGTATTCATAATCTAACCATAGGAGCTAAGTAGCAAGAAGTTCAATGGACAACTGGAACTATCTATTCACAATATAAAGAGAAAGGCGTGATCAGCACATCTATGAAAGACTGGAAAACAAAATGTATGCAATCTGGTGTATTTTGGATACTATATTGATCAAAATGATATTTTACATGAATGCCTAGGTACACAATTCGATCATAAAAGGCAAATAAGGGAAATCTGGAGAAGCAGTTATTGACCTTTCATATCCTCAAAGGCCTCCACGATAATACTGGCACTCATACTGAACCTTGATGGCCCTTTCATGCCTGTTAAACTATGCATCCTTGACTGTCAGGGTAATTTCCTGCTGATGAAATGCTTTCCTGTTACCACATCCAAAAAAGTACGAGTCTTCAATCTAATGTTAAGACTTTGAAGAGAATAAGACTGAAACAAGAAATTTAGGTTTTCAACTAACTTTATAGCTTTTTCTACTTGCTTCCTTGCAGGTTTATCCTCTGTAAAGGATATGTCCACTTATGAAGTAGCAAGGCCAAATATACAGGTATTCCGGAGCATTCTTAAAATTGTTCATCACTGTTAAGACCATACAAAAAGAAATTGAATTTGATGTAGAATGTGGTCCATATATTGTACCCCTTTTGCTAAATGTACATAATTTTGTGGTACTGAAACTGGTAGATACCACTTCAAAAATCTAAACTAAAAGATGAAATAACGTTCTATCATGCAGTGCAAATCACAGGATGGTAAAAAATTTAGCAAGTCAGAAATTAGTCTCCCATTCTCTCTCATATTGTCCAGAGTGAACCCACAAGTGGATTCATAGAACTTCAATGTTTTTTGGAAGAAATGAAGCAGACAATTATATGGCTAAGACTCACCACATCCTTTCAACACAGGCACATTAGTCATACAGATCATACAACATCTAAATTGGTATTAACCCGGATTGTAGTCATTTAATAAGGTAAAAATATAATATTTAGCTCTTCACGAAAAAAAAATTATAAGACGTATAGAGTGCAATCATGCTTGAGTACTTCAAATTGACTACCAACTTTAGTTTTAAAAATAGAGAAACTTGTAAAACTACACCAATTCACTGCCCCACAATCTTTTGTCTATCCATGTAATGCCCATATTTGTTTAAGTAAATGACATTTCAAATGCAATATAAACCTTGGAAGACTGATTGGGGAAGTGAAAAAATATATGATTATGTTTATAGAATTGAGAGTAAATATAAACTTTCATTGAGATAATAAAAGATTGTCGCTTTTGACACTACTTCATATATCTTAGGTAAGAAGGTTATGAAACTTTTGAGCCATAAAGAATTCATATATTACTACTTCTAGGCAATAGTCGAATACATTCAGAAAACCATGAACTTGAATTAGACTATCAAGAAACAGATGATTGATATTAGTTCATGTGAATAAGTGTAATTAACTTTTCCCTCGAGGATAACTTCACGATCAGTTTTGGTAATGGCTACAGAACAGAACTTAAATGAAAGGTTATAAGTTGTAACAGTTCCAAACCCATACAACAACAGTTTACATTTTGGGGTACCATGAACTTGTTTATTGATCCAAAAACTTCTCGATCTAGAACTTTGTTTTCCTAAAAAATAAGAAGCCATCTGTGCTTCTCCTCTGGCTTTACAATAGGTTTATAATCATCATGGTCCTCAAAAACCATCTCAACATGGGTCACACTGGGTGATTTAGTTCCTAAACTAGACACCTCAGTGCTCATAAAACAATTAAACCCTCCCAAATTTCACCCTTATACCAAAACCCATTTGAATGGGAAACCAATGAGCCAACCGAACAGAATATAGCTTACTTGTGTAAAAGGAGTTTCAGGCAACAATACTTTTCCAATCCTTAAACCACAAAATAAGATTTCCTCTGAATCCTCTTCCCCAAAAAGCTCAATGAATAAGCAGTCATTCTGAATAACATGTAGTACATTATGATACCTCGAACTCTGAATTCATATAATAAGTAAAAATATCAAATAGATACATGCAAAGGAAACCTACAGATTTGATCGAGATGAGAGATTGACATCTTCATAACCACAACAAGAACGTGTTCGGTGGAAATACGCAAGCAAGAAATCAAGTTAGCCACAAGAAAGATAGAAAAGATCCTGACGGGGGCTTCCGATGCTTACATCCCTCCTCGAGATTTTTCCCTCGGAATTTGGTGCTCGTAGATGCCGGAAGAGCGCAATTGCATCTCCAAGCCACCCTCTCTTTGGAGCGGTTCACAAGGGAGCGATCGGTAGTCACCGAGAGCTTGGAAAGCGGGCAAAAAGGGATGTTCATGATCCCACTTCGAAAACCCATTCATGCATGATTCCTTCCAATTCTCCCGAAACAGAAGACATCATCGAGCTGAGAGGAGACGGAGGCAACGGGAATGGCAGCCGTAAGCAGAGTGGGTTTCATCGCATGATTCTCCGACGAGGCGAGAATGGACAAACCCTAGCACGAGGTATCGAACTCCGTCGACTGTAGCCATCATTGCAGCCAGCAAACGAGGCACAAAATACTAGCGCTTGTCATTAAAGAACGAGCTAAGAGGTAATTTTTCTTGCATTTTTTTGAGGAAAATAAGATCTTAATAAAAACATAATAAAATATAAATTTAAACGGTGAACAACAACATCTCGTGATTCGCCATTCCTTAACAAACAAATACGAACTATTCATGCAATAATTGTCGGACACGCCAATAGCTTAACACCATATAAACAAGATGACACGTCGACACCATATACGTGACGAGCGTCCGACACATGATTGACAACGCAGCACACACTGACAGCCCAAAGTCACGCAGACAACATGTGATCATCACCGCTGCATCTCGATTGAGTTAGATCGATCAATACGTGTCTCCGATTCGGTGCTTCATGATATCACAGTTCTAATTAAATATGCCGCTCTCTATAATCGCGATCTCGAGATTAACGGTCTTCATATGCCCACTGTGTTGGTAAACCTTTACGTAATGATTGAAGTGTCAGCATCGTTCAATCCAATCCCGAATGGTTGAAGTGACAGAAGTGAGTGTGGAATCGGGTTGAGTTGTGGATCTTGTCGTTAGTTCCTGCACTTGGATTGAGGTCGGAAGGAAGATTTTTTTACTCGACTCCTCCGAAGCTTAACTTATAGTTAGTGGAATATGAGTGAGTCTAATATCCTAACGTTGGTCAGGAGGTTAGTTTATATACTTGCAAAGAATGATCAATCGTACATGGTCTTTTAATAGTTATCAACTCCTCAGGAGGATGGTTTGTACCTTACGGACAAGCATCGACCAACCTGTATGGACCCGTGTCATGTGGTGTCGTTCCGAGCTTTTCAAAATGACTCCATGGTATTTTGTGCCGAATAATGCAAGGGCGTGTGATTGTCATGTTCGGATCCGAGGTATTACATAGTGTCGTTGTATGTACCATATAAGTGGATAGTGCTGAAACGTACCATATTAGTGGGCTCCATAAGTGCATTTACCACAAATCGAAAAATTCAATTTTTATACTTTTTTTTAAATCATCCATTTCATCCTAAACTAATTTAAGGATTGAATAAACATTTTAATTTTATAGGATGAGTACATCTAAAGTCAATTGTATAAAAGGTTAAGGAAGTTTCAAATAAACTTAAATGTATTTTTATCCTCGTAGTGTTTCATTAAAACAATACCAAAGTATTTATAGAGCAATGTATTGTTAATTCCAACGAATTATTTCATATTTGAGTACATTTTACTCCAAGCAGCGAACAACTTGGTTTCTGTTAAAGAACTCGAAATGCTTATCACAATCATCCTCACGTTAATTTTTTTAAAATTATTATTTTATATTCCTTTAATTTTTTTCTCCAATTGAAGATGTAATATTGTATGTATTCTTTATTCATATTCATAAATAAATTAAATCGTATATGAATTTTGATACACCTAAATCGATTAATTCAATTAATGTGACATGATTCATTAATTTATATATATATACATATATATATATATATATGTATATATATGTATATTTATATATATATATTTATATATATATATATATGTATACATATATATACATATATGTATACATATGTATATGATGAGAGTAATAATTACGATAAGACTCGTGTGACATCAACTACCCCAGATGACGTCTTCCGCTTTTGTTGACCTGATGAGGCACCCGGTCAAAGTGGACCGGAACGCCTACCAAGGTGCATTAACACCCTGCTTAGGCTCGATCCCCCATGTCACGCCAATGGCAATGTCAAACTCTACCAGAAGTACGATCCTGCTCCCTACAGGCGGGCACATTGTGTAACGGTAATTCTCACTATAAAAACCCTCGCGCGTCAAGAAAAAGAAGAAAAAAAAACTTTGCTAAAAAGAGAGCGAGCCCCCCACGACCACGGACTAACTTGATCGTCGGAGGGGTCGGGCCGAGCTCCCCGACCCGACCTTTGTGCAGGTACGAAGCCGAAGGTCCCCACTGAACGCGCAAGCGAAGAGTTCTTGTACGAAGAGAATAGTGACCCCATCCTAATCGGAATACTGGGATCGACCACCTCAGCAGTCGGAAGGAGCGTCCTAACAAGATCCCCGTCATCCGGACTCGAACTAAGCCGTGTCGGTCCCAAGGCCACGGTTTGAGATTGTTTACACTAACTGTTAGTATATATATATATATATATATATATATATATTGTTGTGGAGCGCATCGCATACATATAGAGCCGCGGCACGCGGAACAGTGGCAGTTTGGAGCAGCCCACGGGAAAGCACTTGCCATGGCACCTGGTTTTCCTCTCCCACACCATAAAAAATTGGTAACTCCGCCCCTCTCTCGATCGGTCCGTGTCAACTTCACCCCCTCGGCAGCCATCCCAATCCCTATCCCGATTTCTCTCTTGAGAAAGCTAAGTTCATGAACTTGTTCTTGAGCGCAGCAGCCGTCCTGATTTTTTTCTTCCTGCTCGAGGGCCGATCTTTCTTGTGTTTGTTCGAGTTCTAGCGATCCGGCATCCGACGTTCGGGGTTCGGTGGATTGGCCCTTCCCCGTTTAGGCCTTTCGTTGTTGCTTTTGTATCTGTTCGCTTGGGATGGGGGTCGACGGCGGCTTGGCCGACCCGACGTTAAGGGCAGAATTGGCGACGGAGAAGAACACGTACTCTTCCAAAAAGAAGAAGAGGCGGCAGAAGAAGCCGACGTCGACGCCGAGTGCCGTGCAGAGGCTTTTTGAGACTTGCAAGGAGGTGTTTGCTCATGGCGGGCGTGGGTTCATCCCGTCGGCGGATGATGTGGAGCGCCTCCGATCCGTTCTTGGTACTACTCTTCTATTTTCACTTTGCTTTCTGCTTTATCTCACACGGGTTGCTTTGTAGAAATTGATGTTTTGAGTGAATGTGATTATCTGGATTGCTTTAAGCCATTAGTAGTTTGTTCTTTATTGACTTGAGTTTCACAAACACTTCTTCATGCCGAGCTTATGTATTGAAGATGACATTTCGTAGCTTAAAATCTGCAATTTTGGTTGTATTAGGAAGAGTAGATGTTGGATTTGCCTACTGTTCCTTGCAAGATCTGGTTCACGTATTGTCCTACTTAAGGCCACCACGGTTTATTAGAACTTGAGAAGTAACAGGAGGTTCTTTTCACCTATAGACTACAAAATTTGAAATTCTTGATGTTTTGAAAGATTATAGATTCATGAACCAGGAGTTACTCTTATCATTATCCAATGTTCTTATCTACAAGTGTATATCTCCGTTCTGGCATGGGAAACATTAACTAGGAGTGTTTTTATGTCTTGAAGATTTGACTGAGTGACCACAAATCTCAGAATTGTTAAGAAAGTGTTCAATTTATGTGAACAAGCTGGTCTTTGACGTATGAAATAAATCCAAGTTCATGATGGAAGCACAAATAGACCATGTGATATTCTCATCATGAGCTCGTTTAGATCTAACTTGTGAGCGAAACCCAAATGTATGGTGCATGCTCAAATAAAGAATGGGTATTACACAAATATTTTTAATAAGCACTCAGAAAGAGGAACAAATAGGATTTAAACTCTTGGCTTGCCCTGATACCATCTCAAATATTTGATTAGGTGACCATAAACCCTAAAAGTTAAACCTAAAGCGGTTAGTAAATGACCTAATATTTGTTTTAACATTATGTATCTATATATTTACTTTCAGTAAGTACAAAAGGTTTTTTTTTTCCAATGATTAGGAAATGACTTTTTGGTCCTTTTTTTTTCATCCCTTTCATCTGTCATTCAGTCTTATATTGCACTGCTTGAATAAAAGATCAAGCTTTTTGTGGGGATATGTCAGTGCATTCACTATATGGCAGTCATGAAATCACTTTCTTGTTGTTTATGGTGGTCATGAAATCACTTTCTTGTTGTTCTTGATCTCCTAATCATTGGGAATCTCCGCTTTTGACATGTGGGAAAATAGGGAAATTTGAATAGTAATCAGTTGAATGTATTGCAAAATTGCTTTGTGGCATTTTGTGGTTGGATGAGATCATATATGAAGATATTCAATTCTGGATGGAATTCTTTGGTTACTGTTCCCTGATCACCTTGGGGGCTGTGCCATGTATCTGATATAGTTGTGACCTTGTCCTCTCATGCAGATACTCTAAAGCTCACGGATGTTGGTGTAAGCCCAAATCTTCCATTTTTCCACCATGTTGTGACGGATGGGCCTCCTCCTGTGACATATTTGCACCTTTATGCATGCTCCAATTTCTCGGTATCCTACATTCTTTACACTGCTGCTTAATGCATGTGGTTGAATCACTACTTGGCAAGTAATAGTTCTCCCTTATTGCTTCCTGGAATCTTGCAGATTGGTATCTTCTGCCTTCCACAAGCAGCTGTCATTCCACTTCACAATCACCCAGGCATGACCGTTGTTAGCAAACTTCTTTTTGGCTCCATGCACATTAAGTCGTACGATTGGGTTAATGACCCTGAAGGCTCAAACGAGAAAATCAAATCCTCAAATGGTGTGTGTGCAGTTGGACTCTTTCCATTTGTATGAAATCTCAAGGAAGCATGTTCCTTTCAGACTTGTTTTTCATGCCATTAATTAGTCATTGTTGTCAAAAAAACACTGCAGGTGCATGTTTGGCAAAGGTGAACACTGATGCCATCTTTAAGGCACCCTGTGAGACGTCTGTTTTATACCCTACTACTGGAGGTAACATGCATTGTTTTACTGCAGTAACCTCCTGTGCAGTTCTGGATGTCCTTGGACCACCATACAATGACGACGAAGGAAGGGCTTGCTCTTATTACAAGGAGTATGTGTTCTCAAGCTTTCCGGGTATGTTCCTGACTCCAAATTGCACTTTGACCTTTCAGTTGATGTCTTTATTCAAATTCTTACATTGTTGCATCCATTTTATTCAATTTCATGGACAATTACATTAGTTTCAAAAGCCTGTAAGAATACAGTAGTGTTGGTAAATGAGGTCATTTGTCTTTATATTTATTTAAAATTGATAGTTCTGATTATTTACATGAATGTTCCTAATATTTTACTTCTTATCCAGAAATTTCTTTGCATGTTATGTTAAGATATTCGGTATAATGTCACATATGGTTTTTATTGAGATGCTTTAATGATCAGGTCATAGGTCTCCAGTTTACTAGATACCCTAGTGGCCAATGATATGAAGGTAACTGATTTCCTAAGTTATATGGTGGCCTTGTCCAAATTGTGGTCAAGTACAATGAGAGGTGTCAGAACTTTAAATTTTTGAGTTGGATGGCTGTCACTATCAATGATGACAAAAAAGACCATTTAGTTCGCCTGTAATCTTCATTGAATTGTCCTTGCTCTCATTTTGGCTGCTTTAGTAACTGTACCTCTAGATCTTCTGAGCCTGCTAAATTGTTTGTTGGCTAATGGACACGAGGTGTCAAGATGTTTTTGGTGTTCAATATTTTTTCAATCATGTTGGGCATCAAAAACACATCCCCTGTAATTTTTTTTATGAAACAAATTACCTTGCAAGTGGAAAATGTGACAAAAATCTTCACTTAACCGTCTTGGATTATTGATGTATGTGCTGTGCTGAGGCAAATGTTCATTTGTAAGGCAAGCGTTTTTATGGCAGCTTGTATCATTATTTCAGGCAAAGCAATTGGGGTGTCCGGTGAAAGCAAGGAGTATGCATGGCTGGAGGAGAGGGAGAGCAAGCCCGATGATCTCGTTGTACGTGGTGCGGAGTACAGGGGCCCGAAAATTGTAGGCCGCTGATGGCAAACTTTGCAATGATGCTGCAACTTCTGCAGCAAAGCACAAAAAGAAAGCTAAGCAGCCTGCCACCCAACTGTAGATACACAAGTAAAGAAAAGGAAACTAAGCTTTAGATGACAAAAGAAATAATCATGACACTGTTTGTCCACCCTTTAAAACTCTTCTGTTTCTTCGATAGATCTTTCAGCTTAAACACACCCAAAATGTGTTTCAGAGATTTGTTTCCAGATAATTTGGCACCGTAGAACATTGCTTTTTTTTCTTTTTCCTTATTCCAGGCATTCGATTTGCTGTACTTTAGTTGTCATGGGTTATCATCGTTCTTCTGCTTGTGAAGCACGAGATCGGGTATAAAGCTTGCTGTTTTCATGTATTGATGAACTACGCAGAGGCTCATAAGACATGATGATTACTCTTCCGTTTCTGTAATCTCCAAGTCATTTTTATTCGCTTGCTGTGTTTTTGCTTGGTTGAGATTGAGGTGGTTGATTGTTCACTGGCATTAGTGATGCTTGCATTGGTTAGAAGGTTAAGATCCTTTGGTTTTGGTCTCTTAAATACTTCTTAAATGTCCATTGTTGCATGCGTGTTCTTTGGTGCCCATCTTTGTTGCATGAGTTGACACAGAAGAAGACGTGTTCTCCTGCAGAAGGAACAAACAAAGAAATCTTAATGATTGAAGCACTACGCCTACGTTCTTTTCTCCAGCAAAAAATTAGTCTCGCTTCAAACATGCGAAAAGAGCAGTGCGTTGCTATGATGATATCTCATCACATTTTTTCTTCTATGGCAAATGATTTTTTCTCACTTGAGAAAAATCAAATTATTATAATAATATATTTTTTATTTTAATTATTAACTTTTTATAGAGTGATTAAGGAAATAATTGAGATTATTTTTTAATCATGTAAAACAGTTAAATTTTTTTTATCAATTGATTAAATTATTAATTAATTTATTTCCTATTTAGTGATTTAATTTTAGAAAATAAATAGTTCAAATTTAAATTATAAGTAATAAGTATTGTAATTTTATTTTTATATGTGAAAGTAAGTTAAAAGTTAAAAATTAAAAATTAAATTATTACTTTGGAGAGATTATCTTCTCTTATATAAAGGGGTTCCTCAATTTTTATTTATATTTTAAAATCTTTGATATAAAATTATTATGATTTGTATATTACATAATAATATTTTAATTTTAAAATTATATTATTAATAAATAATAATTATTAAATTATGATGTTTGAATGATTAATTAATTTAATAGTAGTTTATACTTATTTTATTAGATATGTTTATGTTTCAAAGAATTATGTATGAATTTTTATGATTTAATTAGTTTTAAATTTAGAATTATGAATCTAAATTAGTTAATTCATGAAAAAAAATAAATTTGAGGTTAATTATTATTTATATAATATTTTTAATTACTTTGAAAATATTAAAATCTAATTGAATAAGAGGAGTTAGGTTTGATATGAGTTAAGTTGTTTGGCTATATCAGCATATATGGTCATGGTTTATGCACATGTGGTTAGATATAACTCAATTTATATGTGGTCTAACTCATATGGTCAGATAAAACTCAATCGATATAGCTCATGTGATCAAATGTAGTTAAGTATTTTTATTTTTTTTTTAATTTAATTTCACACATTAGTATTTACTCGATAAGTATTTAATATATTTACATAATAAATAATATAAGTATGGAAAGAGTGCCATATGAAAAAAATTAAATAAAATGTTCATGAATCTTCTATGTCCTAGTGAAAAAGTAAGATATGAAAAAAATAAAGCAGAAAAAGAATTCCTTACGAAAAAAAGAAACCCAAAACAGCTCATAAATCTTTAGGTTTTGATGGGGATGTAAGATGTGAGAAAATAAGAGACTTTTTAAGTATTTCTGAGTTTATTATATATAGAGAGGGTGAATTTTTTTATAAAAAATTATATGATAAAATGTATAGAGAGATTTATACTTGAATCGAGTTAAAAATATTTATAATTGATTTCACATAGTGAAAATTTTTATTTTTTATGATGGATGTAAGTAGGTATTACCAAATTACTGAATCAATTAATCTTATATTAACTTTTTAGTTTATTTTTTATTTATTGATCTTTAAATCTTTTTTTTTACTTTCGAGATATTTTCTCGATATTTCAAGTTAATATAAACTTTGGAATGATTTTCTAATCTATATGATAAAAATGAAACTTATCATAATATTGAAAGTTTTAGATTTGCAATACTATGTACTTATAATATGATCATCCTTTTTAGAAGGTGGATTACTTATCATATGTACTTATAATATGAATTTGTTACAAATATGTTTCTACTACTTGTATCAAACATCATAACATTGATCCCATTTTAGTGTAGGCAAGATTTAGCCTAATGAGAATTCCATGAGATGGCATACACATTAATTTATTTGAAGTATAAATCACTGATCTAAAATATTTAAGCAAACGATAGCGGTTTAGTCTTTGGATGTGCACGTCATCTTTCCAAAACTAAACTTCCTTCCTGTTTTTCGGCTGGGAGCAAATCCCACATGGTGATCGTAACCTAAATCGTTCCCCAGGTGGTGCAACGGGGCTCGCGGCGGCGACACGTGTCCCGGTCGTTTCAGTTGATGAAACGCGTTGCTATGCGATGAAATCGGTTTTGGTGAGTCAATTCGGCAAAGAGTCTTTGGGTTTGGGTCTTACCGAGTTGAATTCGGAGTCAAATTCGTGTGGGTTTATGCGATGAAATCGGTTTTGGTGAGTCAATTCGGCAAAAAGTCTTTGGGTTTGGGTCTTACCGAGTTGAATTCGGAGTCAAATTCGAGTGGGTTTAGGTTATATGGTAACTACAATAATATAATAATATTATATGAGAACAATGAAAGGGCTCCTCCGTTCATGAATAAATAGACGTCTGTGGGTGTCTCTCTGTGTCTCTCTCGACTCTTGGCGTCGTCGAGCAACGAAGCAGGTGGGCGACAGCATGGAGGGCGCAGGCGGCGGAAACTCGTTGCCGTCGACGTCGGGAGCGGACGCGGTGAAACGGAGGGTTAGCTACTTCTACGACCCGGATGTGGGGAACTACTACTACGGTCTGGGACACCCGATGAAGCCCCACCGGATCCGGATGACCCACGCTCTCCTCGAGAAGTACGGCCTCCTCGACCGCATGAAGGTCATCCATCCCCAGCTCGCCCGCGATCGCGACCTCTGCGCCTTCCACACCGACGAATACGTCGCCTTCCTCCAATCCGCCAATCCCGAGACCCTGACCAACCCCTGCGTCGCCCGCCGCTTCAACATCACCGACGACTGCCCCGTCTTCTACCGGCTCTTCGAGTTCTGCCAGACCTACACCGGCGCCTCCGTCGACGCCGCCAAGGAGCTCAACCGCAGCAACGCCGACATAGTCATCAACTGGTCCGGCGGCCTCCACCACGCCAAGCGCTCCGAGGCCTCCGGCTTCTGCTACGTCAACGATATCGTCCTCGCCATCCTCAAGCTTCTCGAGAATCACGACGTGAGCCCCCTTCTCGTCCCCTCATTGCTCTCCTCCTCCTTCCATCGTTCCTTATGTGTATCGGGTTTGCTCCTGACCTAAGTTCGATCGCACCTTTCTCAAACATTGTCATCAAACTATGATCGGAAGAAGGGGTGGAGCGGAGGACACGCTCCTCTTTGAAATCTATCTACTAAGAACAATAGCTCCAAGGGAATTACTGTTCTTGGCTTTTATTTATGCATGCTGTTATTTATTTATTTTAGTTACTTTCACAATCTCTTGTCATTTAAAGATCATTTCTTTCTTTGATTACAGAATAGATTGATGGTGATTTTTCTTCCTTATATACCAATTAGAAATCCAACAAATTTTTGGGAGCGATCCCTCTGTTTTGTTCTCTGCATCTAGATGCAACATTGGCATTCCCGAGTTCGATCCCTTATTGGTTTTAGGCGATTCCTTCAAGATTAGGGTTTTCATGATTTGAGGAGATGTATCTATTTATTTCATTACTCTTAATTATTCTTTAGGGTTTTTTTTTTTTTGCCCAGAGTTGACTTGCAACATTTTGACCAAATCATATACTCGTGAACTGAGAAATTCTGGTGCCCTTTTAAGGCCCATCCATAATTGGTTTCGCAAAAGGAAAATAGTAGTCTGAGGCACCGCATTACTTGCCGATATAGAATTTGTTTGAACATAATCAGTTTCTTGGATTGATATGATTCAGTACTGATGGCTTGAGTGTTGACTTGGACAGACACCTACATTTTCTCATGCTTCAAAAGTTTACTCTTAACATGTCCTATTATAGTGTGCCTTGTATTTATCTTCCTCTGTTTTCCACTCCCTTTTGTTGATATGTTCATTTCTTATCTGCTTGCAGCGTGTTCTCTACGTGGACATTGATATCCACCATGGAGATGGTGTCGAGGAGGCTTTCTTCACAACTGATAGAGTAATGACAGTCTCATTCCACAAGTTTGGAGAATATTTTCCTGGGACAGGACATTTACTCGACAATGGCTATGGGAAAGGGAAATATTATGCTGTAAATGTCCCTTTAAATGATGGAATCGATGATGAGAGCTACCATTATCTATTCAAACCTATCATAGCAAAAGTTATGGAAGTTTTCAACCCTGATGCTGTGGTGCTTCAATGTGGTGCCGACTCCTTATCTGGAGACAGATTGGGTTGTTTCAATCTTTCTGTCAAAGGCCATGCAGAGTGCGTAAGATACCTTCGATCTTTTAATGTGCCACTGATGCTGCTTGGTGGAGGTGGCTATACATTACGTAATGTTGCTCGCTGTTGGTGCTACGAGGTATGAAATGCTTTTTTTTATCAAACCAATTGTTTGTGCAAGTTCGTCAATTACACCATTTTCTAGTAGTATGGTATTTTTTATGTCCCATGGGTCCATGTAGTGGATTGTTTCATTGTTAGAATCTAAAGCGATTAACTTATGTTTTATTTCTCTAATCATGACATATTAACTTATCAGTGTTCTTGTTTCAGTTAACTCTAGTATTAGATTCACATTTTACTTAACATTTGACAAAGATTTTGTTTCTTTTTTTTTAAATATTACTACCGTTCATGATTTTTTGATACATAACTTTCACATCTTGCAAGTTAACTAAGAATATCTGGTCACCTGACATGCATAACCATTTTGCCACTGTAAATATGAATATTACAAACTTTCTACAAGGATATGCTGTCTTCATACTTTGTTTAGTTTTTCTTACTCAATTCTAACTGCTTTTGGTTTTTCAAACTTTTGGTGCAGACTGGAGTGGCCCTTCATGTTGAAGTGAATGACAAGATGCCTGATCATGAATATCTCGGGTACTATGGCCCAGACTATAACATCCATGTCGCAACAAGTAATATGGAAAATAAGAATTCACGCAAGTCATTG